AACCCAGTTCATGGGGCAGAAATTGTTATTTGAATGGCTAAAAAAAAAAAAAAAAAAAAAAATCAACGGGCCAGGGCTCCGTTTCAGCGACAGGGCACAGCAATGGCTCCAGGTGGGTGGACACTGAGATCAGATTCTGCAGGGCCCCATCCTCCCTCCCAAGTACCTTCGCAGTGGAGGCGATGCAGGGGGCACAGGATGTGTGTGAAGGGCCTCAAGTAAAGTGGTTTTATGGCTCTGGCATGGTTTGTAAGCCGAGCAAACAGAAAAATCTCAGGAATAAAAGGGGCAATAAAATAATTACATAATGCTTTGAACTCACACTAAATAGCACCTGTATTTCAAGGCGTTCAATGTGTTTTACAGGCAAGTTTAGAGCTGTAGCTGTATCCCCTTTTATCAGGGGGGAAACTGAGTCACTGCTCAGCAGGAGCTGGGAGCCCACAGGGTTTGTTTCTGGGAGACCCGTTTGTTTCTGGGAGCCCTTCCGGGGGTGGGCCAGCAAGAGCGTGTTTCCCACCACACCTTTGTTCTGAGCATAAAGATACAAATGCCTATCTCTAGGCATAAACTCTGCCCACACAGCCCAGCCATGTCTGAGTTCCAGGGGTGGCTTGCTGATGCTGGCATTGACAATGAGATTAACACCAAGCATGGGTTTTGATGCTTGTGGACACGGGACCATTGGCCCTGCACCTCCTGCGAGGTTGGTGCTGTAGTTCTCATAGTGTAATGGAAGCATAAGAAGTCAATGCCTGTCCCCAGCAGCAGCAGCCTCAGAACCTGCACTTTCTCCACCAAGGACAACTACTTCCAAGAAAGAGCCCAGATCAACAGTTTTGCTCAGAAGCCAGAAATTTCCACCATCCCTCCTGTCTTCCTGAATATGGAGAAGGCCAGGACAGATTTAGACACATTTCTCCTGGACTCCAAGAGCTGTTTGGGAGATAAGAACAAAACCATAAAATGGGCCAGACAGGCATTTCTAAAATCATAAAGAGCTGCAAAAAAAAAAAAAAAAAAAATATGAGATTGCTAAAATAATGGAGAAAACTCCAGGATGACTAAAAAATTGTAAGATTGTTAAAATTATGGAAAAGATCTAAAGTATTTATTTCTCTTATTTTTTTTTAAAAAAACTACTCAATATTTGGGAATTGTCATATTGAATGCATTTTGATGGTCCACTGTGAGAACAACCCAGGAATTCCAAGATTATATGCCATTGGCTGAAGCACCCCCACTTTGGGTTCTGAGGTGCCCCCTATTTCTTGGCATGCCACAGTCCCTCCTAGCCCCAAGGAACTCTGCTAGCTGCTCAGTGTCTCCCTGAGCATGCCAGGCTCTGTTTCCCAGTCTCTGACAGCTGAGTACAAACATGTGACCGGATGTGCAGGTCAGAGAACTGTGCACTGGCCAAGGTGCCTCTACCAACGACCTATTAAACTTCCTGGCGATCCTCTCCCTCCCACTGTCTCTGCTGTCTGCCTCCTGGCTATCAACACCCCAGTGATCTTGGAAGACACTGAGGCTGGCAGAGTGGCTGGCCACCTGGACCCTGAGGAGCTAGGTGGAACCCATCCCTGGGCCCTGCCGCTGACAGAACATGATTGATCTGGCCTTAATTAATAGGTCCAACATGTATAAGTAACTGGTTCATGGACAGACGCTGGTCATCTGAGTGGCTAAAAAAAAAAAATTAACCACAAAACTGTTCCAGTGACAGTTACATTCTACAAAATGTAGTGACGAACAGCATTCTCTTAACTAGTAGGTAAATTACAGATAACAATCCACCCTCTCAGGCCAAAAATGAAAAATTCTACGATCACCTTTGTCTGTTGCCCCTCTGTGGTCAGTAAACAAGTCTGCATGACCCAACAGAGTGAAACCTGAGACTCAGGATACTGTGGGGCTCTCCTTCTTGTTGAATTTGTGGCCTGTGATACAACCCCACTTCTTCAATACCCTTCCTGGACACTCCAGACTGGGCACAACAAACTGGTCTCATCTGGAAGCCACCTCCAAGGGACTGTTGCTGCCTGTGCTAAGGATTCAGGCCAGGCAGGCTGAGCAGAAGGAGCAGCCATGTGAGCATCGGCCAGGGCGCAGGGAGGCACTGCCCGGGGTCACGCCCTCCAGTGTCCCCAGACGTCTAGAGGGGGCAAGTTCCTGCAGCATGGGCGGGGGTGCCTCACCCATCCTTCATCCCTTCACCCTCCTGAGGTCTACTGGATTAAAACTTCCAGCTGTGGGCCTCGGAAACCCCCAGGGACTGCCCAGAGCCAGGCAAAGGCAAATGGTCTGCACCCCAGGGCTGGGAGGCCCTGGCACCTTAGTTGCCTCCTGTGTAAACAGGGGCAATAGTGATGGATTAGGAGGATTAAATGACAAAGGTGGGCTTTGACTACATGGTCTTCTAGGAGTCCAAGAAGAGCTTTGTCCACAGCCATGATAAAGATCCCAGTCCCCAGCATGTCCAGATGCCCTGGCAGTACCACTGTACCTGCAACATGAAGGACTGGCTGGACGGTCTGCTCCCTGCTGACTGCTGCAGGCTGCTCTGCCTCAGCTCCATGCCCAAGCTGGGAAGGATCCTGGACAGGGAGCAGCCTGCTGAGAGGCACCTAGGGGGGACCCATGGCCAGCTTGATGAGGTCTGTGAAGTTACTGTGTGGGCATAGCAATGTGGTATGGTGATGAGAGCACATGTGGTCACAGTGCATTGTGAGGGAGCCGTGCTGACCAATCCTGGTGACATGGCACTGGGGAGTCTGTCTACCCTTCTGGCTTCCGGTCTCACGCTTTGTCTGTTTCCCCTCTGTGGTCAGTAAACAAGCCTCGATTCTGGATCTCTCAACAGCATGACGAGGGCAAAGGGAAAAGGTCTGGAGACTCTGCTCAGGCCAGCTGGTTCCTTCGGACACTGACCAAAGGTTCTCCTGACCCTCGAATATCACCAGGAAAGGGATGAGCTGAAGGGATACCAAGACTTATGGATCAGTGCAGAAGTTTCCTGGATGGGCAGAAGGGAAGCAAACCAGGCCAGGCTGCTCTGGCCCCTGCCAAGGTCATGCAGGGTAGACTGGCCATGCGGTGACCCTGAGGCCCTGACTTAGGGGTCACCCTGGCCCCGCAACACTGCACGAACAGACACAGGACACTGGGCCTTCACTGCCAACCACCAGGGAGGGCTATGGTGTCCCCGAGCTGTTTTTCCCCACTCAGTCCTCACCAGGAGGCCTAGGCAGGGCCTCCAGGGGGCCAAGCTTGGGTCCTGTGCCCGCACCTCACTTCTAGGTGCTAAGAAATCAGGTAGCCAGTCCTCTCTGTTTCCCTGGTGCGGAGCCCAAATATAAGAAGTGGGCTCAAAGACCATGTGGCCAGAAGCCAGTGCGTGCTTGCCACACATGCCTGGTTGGCTGTTTTCAGCTGGTCAACACACAGGAAAGCTGAAAAAAAAACCCAATTTTTCTGCTCTATTTGCTTGTCCCTCCATGGACCACTAAAACCAGGTGCTGGAGGACTATGCAGCCATGTAGCCTGGAAAAAAGACCATGGGTGGTTGTGGGCACAGATCTTGGTTGACTCTTCAAAAAGTGAAGCCTTTGCCCTTGGAGTGAGGTCTCAGCCAGAGGACCTCAGCCAGTCCCAGTGAACTGAGGGGGCCAGTGGTAACATGGGCCCCCCGGGCACTTGGGGGTCTGGACCTGCCTAACACAGTGCATTCTGCAGAGCTGCTCACCAGCCCAGGAGCCAGGAAGTCTGAGCTCTGGCCCTGCCCTACCCCTGCTCCTGGCATGGCTTTGAGGAGATCTTTCAACTCCTGTGACTCAGTTTACTCACCTGCCAAGTGAAGATAATCATGTGGAGCTCAAAGGACTTTTGTGAGACTCTAATGAGTATTTATAAAGCACTTTGTAGGAGTTTACAGTTATGTGAGCTGGGAAAGGAATTACAAATGATTCAGGGGTAAACAGTATTTAGAATCTGAGTTTTCAACAGCCAGCAGACTTTCCTGGGTGTTTATAAGGCCATGGAATCAGGACGCCCTGGGGTTCCCTCTGTGCAGACCAGCCTCTCCTCCTGAGCAGCTTGCCGCAGGCCCAGGAGGGCCGCTCAGCTCCAGGCCGTGCCTTGTGTGGGCAGGAGCCAGCAGAAGGACTGGACTCAGAGGCAGAAGGCAGACACGCAGCTGGGTTAAAAGTTCTTCCAGAGATCAGGATGATTAGACCATGGGGAGATACTCTGCGAGCAGATAAACCTGATTCCTCCCCAACTACCCACTTCCAGATCGGATATGTGCTGCATGCCTTCAAGGCTCCGCACTGCTCATGGTAGTAATAGATGCTCCTTCGTGAAAGAAAGCACCTTTCTTCCCCACAGGAGTTTGAAATTAAAAAAAAAAAAAACACAGTGAGCAGGAGCACAGGGAGACAAAGAATGAAATGTGGTGAGCCCACCCCAGAGGTCACACTATGGGTGTCCACTCACCCTTTCCCTCCCCTATTTTCAGGGCTCTGTAAGGGCAGATGGGCATTGCCGTCTCCATCCTTTGCCAGGGACGTGAATCTAAGAGAGGCGCGCTGTCTGTTAAAGGTGCAGACAGCCAGCACCCGGTGGAGCACGTGCTCCTGCCCTTCACCCATCTCTGTCCAGTTTCTGTTTCCTAGCTGCTGCTCCTGCTTGATCCCCATCTCTAGCTGGCTCCTAATGGTGCTGGACGGGTATCCCAAACTCTGCCCTCCTCTCTTGCCCCACAACAACACCCAAAGCTGCCGAGCAGAAGGATAGGCAAGATGGGGAGGGCAAGAGAAAGAAAGTGTCCATGGCAAACATCTGTGCCCTCTGGCTGTTCTTGGGATGCTGCAGGAAACTCGCTAAAGTTTTAATATTGGCAGAAGAGCCCACTCAGTTCTGGATGGAGCCTCTGCTTCAAAGGTCAGCCTGCCCTGTAGAACCATTCGCTGTAGGCTTCCCCGTTAACCAGAGGCAGGAGATCAGAGAGTCAGGTTTTATTCCATCTCGTTCCCAGGAGGAGGGACGGCTTTCTACTCCTGATCCCACTCAGAAGAAGGAACCCTGGGCAGAGTGTCCCCAAGCTCTCCAGAGGCAGCATCCTGTCCACACTGTGTTCTCACATGGACGATTCCATTCCCTGTAAGCATAAATGAGCAGGAGTATTTTGAAAAGAGAAAGAGGCCATTGCCAAAAGGAGCCAGGTGCAGAGAGCTTCCCACAAGGCCCTCAGCCTCACCCCCACCAAAAGAGTGCAAGGAATCAGGGTTCCACTTTATTATCCAGTATTCACTTGAAGCCACACGCCAACCGGGGGTCTTGAAGGGTGTGAGGAGGAGTCCCTGGCCTCCTGGGGCTATGGTCTCCAGGGAACAGAAAACAACCATACTACCAGGAAACCACCTTAAAAGAGAGATGAATGAGTTCCGTGGGAAGAGTATTTCATTCTGCTGGGTAAACCCGGTTCCTCCCTGCTTGGGGACCTTAGGGGTTGGTCTTCCAGCAGGAGCTCTTGCCTGGGATGGCTTTCAGCCTCTAGTTCCGGTCAGCCTCAGTCTTGTCCTGCACACCAAAGACACTGCCGCCCCCTCCAGGACACTGTTCTCTGGGCCCCACCTCTGGCTCTTGGTGAATCTCCTTCATGACACCTTTTACTTTCCTCCCGGTTGTTCCATGTGTGTGGTAAGGCCCACGTAGCATCACGGCATACTCAAGGGCAGGAATGTGTCCTGTATGCACCTCAATAATTGTTTGTGGGATTTAACTAAATCCTACTGGATATTTTATCAATCAAAATAACGAGGATGTGAAATTACATTTACTGGGATTAAAAGATTCCTATAGTGGAATATTGTTAACTTTAAAAATCAAGTTATACGATGGAATGTTCTAGGACGGCCACAGCTGTGTCTTGTCACAGGGTCCTGGCAGGAAGGAGTCATCAAGAAGTCCATTTATAGGAGCTTCAGGGAAGAGGCCTCCTGGAGAGTGGTGGGCAGAGTAAAGTGTGAAGACGGGAGGGCGACTCCAGACCCACCGGGCAGAACACATGCCACTGGAGCACAGACGGGAGAGGAGAGCGTGGGGGACGGGGGAGGCCAGAGTCTGCCAGGTGAGTCTAGCAGTGGGTTCTGAAGCCAGAAGGACTGGACTGGCTTACACGAAGCAGGGGACTGTCCCCCGCTTCTCAGCCGCAGGCTTTGTACCTGCCACACCTCTCTGCGCTGACCATAAAGGGAAGCCAGGAAAAGAACTTGAGTTATGCCAGGAAGTTCCCCCCCTGGGGACAGGGGGACAGAGCAGGGTGGAGGGGAATGGGTCAGGGTGGTGAGCAGAGGCCATTTAGAGCACGTGAAGGAGGGGTGTGGAAGGATGAGCCAGGTCCATGGAGAGGTGTCTGTGAGGGCCATTGGCTGTCCCCCATCCCATTCAACGAGCATGTACTGTTTCTATAATCAAGGGGAAAATAGGTCTTTGGTTCAACACTCCAGCCCTCCAGAAGTCCACACAGGGGTGAAAACTGCAGCAGCCCTCTTATAATAAACAGTGACCGGCACTTTCAAAGTCTCCTTCAAATATTTCTATCCCTGACCCAAGATGTTGAAGACACAGCTAACTGTTCGTGGGTTCATCTGCTCACTGACTTGTTCACTCAACAGTATTTCTGAAAGTGTTCCTGCTGAAGCTAGGCTGCTACTCCACAAGGCAGATGTGGTCCAGGACCCCGAAGCCTGCTGACGTAGCCCACGTTGGAGGGAAGGTGCAGGTGGCAGGTGGAGGTGCTGTTGGGGCCCTCCCACAGGAGAAAACAGAGCAGTGTCCCAACACCCAACATGATTTGCCTCTTCCCTGCTGGACAGGGACATGGGGCTGCCCCAGCATCAGATCAGGTGTGTCACCCTGTCTCTGTAAGGCTGAAGTCAAACAATAAGTGTGTACCTTCACTTCTCCTGAACTAATCATACAGACTCAGATTGGGTCCAAGCAACACCAAGATGAATTTAGGTTAAAATTTCATTTTAAGGGGCTGGGGTTGTGGCTCAGCGTTAGAATGCTCGCCTAGCATATGTGAGGCCCTGGGTTCGATCCTCAGCACCACATAAAAATAAAATAAAGGTATTGTGTCCAACTACAACTAAATAAACAAAATATTTTTTAAAATATTTTATTTTAAAAATCAGAGAACAGGCAGTGGAATGAGATGGACATCTTTAAGTACATGCATGAAGACATGAATGGTGTGACTCTACATTGTGTACAACTAGAGACATGAAAAATTGTACTCTATATGTGTAATGTGAATTGAAATGCATTCTGCTATCATATATAACAAATTAGAATAAATTTTTAAAAATCAGAGAACAAAGTGGGTTTTGCACAAGCATGAGAGTGCGCAATGGTTCAAGTCCCCCCAGGCAGAAGCCCCACTGTGTGTCTCTGCTCCTGCACCCCATGTGGGCCTGGGCCTTGTGGCCATCACAGAGTCAACCTTGATGTTCCTCTTTAGCAGCAACAACTTCCATATTCCCAATCATAGTGATCCTACATAAACCCCAAAATATGTCAGACCCCATGAAATGCTTGTTTATTCAATATTTCTTGTGTGTGTGTGTGTGTGTGCGCGCGTGTGTGTTTTGCTGGGGATTGAACCCAGGGCCTTGTGCATACTAGGGAAGCACTCTACCAATGGCACTATATCCCCAGCCCCTTTAATATTTCTTGATCAAGAAAATACCTAATGACAAAAGCCTATAATGAATTTAGCTATTTGTACAAATAAGCATGCATTTTATTAATTATAGCCATTCATTAATATTCAAAGATTAGTGGCTCACATGGGTAGGAGGTGGTGTTTCTCTACACAGGCAACACTTGTAGGGCACACATATTCTCACTTACCAGCCCAGATTGGAAATCTCCTAACTAGACCAAACCACAGAGTGCTACCCCATCGACTGTTGTCACTCAGAGCTGTGAAAAGAGGGCCCGGGGTCGATAGGGTACTGTCCTGGGTCCTACTGGAGGATGTTAGAGATGCTGGTGCCTGGAGCCATTGAGGTAAGCAAACAGGATCTCCTGACAGCCATCTGTCCAGAGGTCGCTGTTGGGCACACCCAGAATCTAACTCAGAGAGAATGGAAATTGCTGCTCACTTCTCAGTGTGGCCCCAGGTCCTTGGCCAGAAGGCTCCATCATAATCAAGACCAACCCAAGTGGGCCTGGAGCTCTATGGCAGACAGGGATGACTGGCTCTTCACCTCCCGTCAGCTCCACCATCCCCAAAGGGGCAGCTGGACCAATGGTCCTACAGACTAACACAACCTGACACTGATGGTCCCACTGCCCTTCATCTCCAAGCCAGCAGGCTCATTGCTAACCTGCCACAGCCATATGCTCGGGAAATGTTGCAAGAGAGGAAGTGAACTGTGAGGCGCTGAGCTCCAGGTCCTCCCTGAAGGATGTCCCTGAGCAGACTCAGGCAACTGGAGGCCTTACCTCCAGAGGCTGAAGCTACCTGTGCTGCGTACTGCTGCTGAGCACCCTGCGTGGGACCAGTTGGAGTTGTTCTCTGTGATTTTGGAAAGGATGCAGCTCCAATAAGCCTAACAAGAGCAAAGCCTGCTCCATCTGACCTGGAATGCAGTCACCATGTTGTATGCAGAGGCTTCAGCTCTCAATTCAGTCTTTTATCTAGATAAACACACAAATTTTCTTGGTACTCAATGTCGGATGCGGGAAGGAGGTAGCTACATGTGTTCAGGGGGCTGAGACTCCTACTCTGGAGGAAAAAACTGGCTTCCTGGACAAAGCACTAAGCAGGACAGAATGTGGATAAATCCCATGTTTGTGATTGACAAGATTTAAACCCACTCAACCAGACCCAACAGACTAGTGGGAGTCCAGGGACTCCAACTCCCCAGAGACAGGCAGATGCAGTGTGGAGTCTGAATTGGGTCCAATGTGGGCTTCTCTGTAACACTCCACCCACTCGCTTTTCTGCATCTGTCAAGTTAAATGCCCAGCCAGACCTCGGGCAGCAATTCCTTGTCAACAAGCTCTATGGCTCTCTGAGATCTGGATGGACAGTCTCTGCACTGCTGTGCTTACCAGTTCTTGTCCTCATTATTTGTTGTCAGAGCACAATACTAATCCTCAGTCTCCCCTCCCCCCACAGTGCTTGATCACACTGAATAAACTGGCCCAAACTTCACAGGAGGCCACAGGAGGCAACAGACGCCTCTGAAGGGAAGGTCTACTGAACATAAGGGGAAAGTGCTTCTGGAAGAGCCCTTGATACACGGCAACACTTCCAGGTGTGGCCAAGACAGGAATGGGTGTATCTGGGGACACTGCCAGGATGATGGGGGTTGTGAGTGAGTTGCTATGGGGTGGAAATATTTCTGAATGTCACCCAATAATGTGCCACTTACCACAAAGATAGTATCAGCATCTCTGTACAACCAAACACAGAGCCACCAAGATCTCCAGATTCCCAGCGTATCTGCCAAGGAATGTGCATCCCAGTACTTCAGTAAGTCCATCTTGGGTCATCTGTCCTCTGATGAGAAACCTTTTCCCAGACTGAGTAGGGATTTCAGAAACTAGGTAACTATTCACCAAGGAGCCATTGAGTATGTTTCCTTGCCTGTGAAATAGTTGCCATAGGAAAGGAATCAGCTATGGACCATCTGCACCTCATTAACCCAAGCGCTGAAAAGGAGGCCAAATTCACCAAGTGAACCCAAAAGCCTATGAGCAGGACTCATGCCTCCCTGGCCCAGAGCACTTAGCACTGAAGAGATTCCACATCTGTGGAGCCAGAGTCCTGGATGCTTCTCACTCCTCAGTGCTTCTCCTCAGTGGGAATTGGGAATGGAGGCACTTCTTTTCTTCCCAGAAAGAGAGGAAAACATTCCACAAGGATCATTGTGGCCAAAAATCTTCTCCTGTGCTGATGAAGGAAACAGGGGTAGCTGGCTCATAATGTGAAACTCACATGTGCTGAAGATCTCTAAGGAGCCTCCTCTGAAACGGTACAGAGAGAAGCCCCTCCCTGGAGATCTATGGGAGTCCTGGGGCCACAACCCCAAGAATGATGTAGGCAATGATTTTAGGAGGTGCAGAGATGAATGACTTTCTTGGTGAGAGTTGCATGTGCCCTAATAGTTGGGCATAACTAGCACACCCAACTTGTGGCTTCAAGATGTTGCCTGGGATTAAGATGGAAGGAACATAGATTAGAAATGTGTAAGTGCAATTGTTCAAACCTAGAGATATGTGCAAAGGTGGTGTGCAGAGAAGCAAAAGAGGAAAGCAGAAGATAGCACGCAAACGGCCCCAAATTGGGAAATGTTGTTGAGGACTGGCACCAGGTGGGTTCCACGGTGTGGGCAGTGGGGTGGTGCACAAATTCATTTTCACAGCCCAGTGCCTGACTGTCCACCCAGGACCTTGACGATGTTGCTAGAGCCACTTGGTTTTTTGCACCATGTTAGGAAGTCTTACCGTGAATGACGTGAGCCAAAGAGGAGATTCCTTTAATGATCCCCACGCTCTGGGCCCATGTCCTTGAGGTTGAAACAAGTGTCTTTAGTGCCCTGGGAGACCTTGAGGACTGCTCCTCTGGGTTAGCTTGGCTCCTGCATAGGGAAGGGTTCCTGCAGGCTTCTCACTCTTCCTCCCACCCCCTTGACCTCACCCCTGAGAGAACAATCAAGGGTTTGGGGACAAACCTGGTCCAATTCCAGGACATGAAGGTGCTCTGGTGAGAGCTGTGGGCACCTGATGGAGCCATGGGGTTTTGGAGTGCCTGAAGTTTGATGGGAAGGTAGGCATGGGGAGTGGCCCAGCATACCCCAGAAGAAAGTTAGAACATGATGTCTTTTTACTTATTGCTAAAGTTCTCATCTCTGGTCAGACAAACTGCAGCCCATACCCACAGTGGGGTAGTATGGAGCTGTTAAAAAAGTGTGTCAGAGCACATATGGAAACAGAAGGAAAGAAAGGGGGCTGCAGAATAGCATTTTAGCATGATTTGCTGTTATGCAAAATAAAAGCATCAACCTATGCTTACTTATAAGCATAGGGTGTTTCTAAACCAAAATCATCCCAGTGGTTATTTACCCGAATAGGCCTGGAGGATCAGGAAGAAACACTGAAGCCCCACTTTGTGTCTCCGTGTTGGCAATTTTTTCAGTGACCTATATTGCTTTTATAACAAAGTCCTTTTAAAATAATGGCAAACAATGGGGTAATATTTAAAATATTATGTCCATGGCTCAGAAGGTGTATTTCATGGGACCTACGTTAGAGTGAAGTGTCCATTCGCGTTGACGTAATAATCACAGTAGATAATACATGTTGCTTAGTAGTCATCATGACACAGACTCACATTTATGTAACCATCACCAGGCAGGATGCATATTGCATGATGGTCATTGTGAGGCCTCTTTAGATAGAAGCACAGAAGGACATGGAGCACTGACAGCAGTTGTGGGGGTGGGGGCGGCCGGCCCATCGTGGAGCAGGAGGTGAGTCGCACCTCACCTCAGCTCTGATGCCATAGCAGCTCTGAGAGGTCGAGTTCCATTTTCTTTGCCTCACAGATGGGGCCATTGAGGCTTTTAGATTTGGCCCAGTGGTCATGGCAGGGAAGCTAACTGTCTGGTTACACTCACGTGGTCCTTTCCCTAGTACAGAATAGTCACTGGGGTTACGTTTCCTAGCCCCCCGGCTCAAGGAAATGTGACTGGAAGGGATATGTGTCACTCTGGGCTAATGTGCTAAGACACACCACCTTCTCTCTCACCATCACCTCTAGGCAGAGGTCTCCGGGGCCTTAGGGGACTGTATAGCCACCAAGTGGAAGGATCCTGGATCCCTGAATGCTCACCTGGAGGAGATCCACTCAATGACCTAAATGAGGAGATGACATCCTGTCACATCTCTGAATAAGGGTGTGTTTGTTACTGCTGCTAGCTACAGGGTGGTGACAGAGTATCATTGGGTTTCAAGGGCTAAAGAGTAGCACCAGGACACCAGGACCATTAGACTTCAAAATCCATGCCCATTTTACCATACTGAAATACCCCCAAGCCATAAGCCTCCTCTGCTTGAACAAAGCCAAGTGGAGAATCCAGAGGCCTCAATGCAGATGGCCCTTGCTCATTACACACCACGTCCCCAACCACCCTTCTCTGCACAGGGCATGATCTGGGGGTGGGAAGGGCTTCCCAGAGGGCTTCCTGATCAGAAGCTTTCCAGCAGTATGGCCAGGCGTCTCTCTGCCAGGGAGGGCACCGAAAGTCCTGGCTTTACCTCTAGCCCTCCTGCACCTACCACCTTGGCACCCTCTCTGCCTGAGCTCCTGTTTACATAACCAGAACCCAGGCATGTCCACTTCCAAGAACTGCCACCCTCATTCATGTGCCCTGCCTGCTATGGTGGCTGAGCTGAGCTGGACCCCAGCCCACATCGGCTTCTGCCCCTGGTTCTTGTCCAATCACTCTCAGTGGAGGGATGTGATGAGCTCCTGGAGGAGTCAAGAAGGTGATCTAGTCTGAAAGGGTTTGGACATAGTGCATAGGGATTGGGTCTGCAAAAATCTTAACAATACTCTTTCCCTTATGAAGCTCCAATGCCAAACACATTTGACCCTCGGATGTTGATTGGTAGAACTGGATCTGACAAAAGAAACTCACCATTCTAATGCACTGCGATCCATCCGGGCTACTCTGTGAGCTCCAGGCATGTAGAATGTTGGTTCTGCCATTCACCAGCTTTGGCTCTGTAAGGGCAGAAATGGGTCTGTGTTTAGATGCCATGGCACCACAAGCTCCCAGGAGACTACCCACAACACTGAGAGGACTTGGAAATGCTCTTGTCAAGTGAGGCAGCCTCTCAAGGAGACACGGGAAATTGGAAAGCTGTCAATTTGAGGAACATCAAGTTTTTCTTCCACTACAGCTATCGTCTGGCTAATTTGTTCAAGCTAGTAACCCCCAAAGAAAGGGAAGACACAGGAGCGAGGAGGCAGGTGGTCCCAGATGACTTGGGGAGCACTGAGATGAAGCCTCAGTCTTTGGACTGATCATGAGCCCTGGCCCCGCCAGGCCACACAGCTTCCTACATGCTCTCTGGAGAAGCACTTGCTGGGGACAGACACCACATCTGTGCAGGCCCTGGAGGAGTTAGTGAGAGCTGCGTCAGAGACGGCATGACTGGCTAGCGGTCAGAAACCGGAAGTGGGCCTGAGCCCCAGAGACGAAAGAGGAACTCCCCAGTGGAAGCCAATCACAGACGGCAGAGAAGAAAGCAGCGTAGTGGTGTGGTAAGGCCGAGAGAGCATCTTTCCTCATATTTTCCAAGACCTAGGCTTTTTTTATCTTTTTTGAAATTATGCAGGGGAGTATCACACAGAGGCCCTCTTACCACAGTGGCTTCACAACCCTTGCGTCGTTTGCAGGGCCAGCACCAGCCCTCAACTGTGACAGAGAGCCAGTGTCTGCACACACCCAGAAGAAACAAGTGATTCACCTCTCCTGCAGTTGGAAGTACTTCACAGATGCATCCATAAAACCAGAGGGAATTTGCTAAGGAAGGAAGTTACTCAGATGATTTCAAAATAAAACACCAAATTAAATCTTTTTACAGAAAAAGAAGACAGGAGTAGATTCATACAGAATATTTCTCAACTAAGGAGCATGAGTACCTTTATGGGTAGTAGCATTTTTCAGTTTCTAACAAAGCAATCTGGCTGATTGTTATATCCAAAGATATGGACATGCCAGATACTCTGCCAACTATTTATAGATGTCCACATGTGGTTCCAGACTCCCCTCTGCCTGGGATGCAGTGGTGAACATTAGCCCTGTGGTACTTATATTCTGATGGCGTGGGAGGCTCACGCCCACTCCCAGACCACACTTGCTGTAAGTCAAATCCACATGCCCAGAAATCCAGGCATGGCCTTCCTCCTGACTTCAAGCCTTTCCCGGACTCCAGCCAGACAATCTAAGATGTTCTGGACAGATCTGAAATCTATTAGGTGAGTCTAAAGGCGTCTGTGGCATTAGTTCTTGGTGAGTGTCTGAGTGGTCCCAGAGGGGAGATTTGGGATGGCCCAGCTCAGAGCATGCCTCTGGGGGCACGTCCTGGGATGGACTGTCTGTCAGGCATCTGAACTGCAGGGACAGCAGGGCTCTCTGTGAGCTCATAAAAGCAACCTACCGAGGCCAGGGGGCTTTGTCATTCCAGCACTGTGTCCCCGTGGGATGTTTCTTTCATCTGGCCACCTCCCATCCAGGGGGCCACGAAGGCCTTTGGGGAGCAGCAGCCTCATTGGGTCTGTGGTCCCAACAGCTGACCAACATCATACCACGTGGACGTCTTCAAAGAGTGACACTAAAATGGTTGTGGGATTGCAAAGCTGAGGACCCAAGAAAAGCCAGCCAGCGTTCCTGGCCAAACTAGGTGGCGAGTCCGTCAGAGGCAAGGCAGGGGCTTCCTGTTTCTCCACAGCATATTTCCTCCCAGATGTAAGAGGACAGATTCTGTATGTATGATTTCACATTGGTCCTGGAGGACCCAAACTCACAGAGACCAAGCGGAGGGCAGCGGCCAGGGCCTGGGAGGAAGGGCACAGTTACATTCAGTGGGAACAGAGTTTCTTGGCAAAGACAGGAGAGTCCTGGAGGTGATCGGTGGCACATCATGTGAATGTACTCCACACCATTTAAAAATGTCTAAGATGGCGAATTTTATGTTTTACAATAAAAAGTGATGGAAATGTTTATTTTGAGCCTATGACTTAATGTGTGAATTCATTATGCCCCTTAGCATCCTCTCTCTATTGAAGGGCTGCCCACCTTGCAAGGAGCTAGTCTGTGAGATGCTGAGCAGGACTGTTTGCAGCTCTCCTTTGGTAGCCACATCACCTAGGACAGAGCCCTCTGCAGCATAGTGCTGGATGAACGCTGTTTGAAAGAAAAAACATGGATGAACAAGTGGGCTCAAAATCTCCATGGCACTGGATCGTGATTTTTCTAAAAGTATGTTCACAAAATAGTCACAGCAATGAGCATTATCAAGGGCTTTATATGAGAGTAAATAAGATTTTCAACACAAACAAACAAAAAAGGTAAGTACATATTTCTAGCCACGTTGAAAGTTCCTGTCTGAATCCCCCACGTGGCCCTCACCTCACTCTCCTGAGAGGTTGGGGTGAAATAATAACTTCCCTCCTGGTCCGAGTGCTGAGTTTTTCCCACTCTGAACACCAGGAGCATTTCACACAGTGAGATTTCACAGCCCCTAGACAGTTCGGGAAGCACCTCAAGTCGCTTCAGCTCAAGTGCTCCCCTCCTGGGTGTCTTCTTCCTACAGGACAAGGCAGGAAGTGACCACTGCTGCCTTCCCTGCTGATTCAGCTGTGACTCTTCCACAGAAACTCGACTTCAATTCTGCTGCTTCCTTGTGTGAAAGCGTGCTCATTTTCTGGTAAAGATATTTAAGGGATAGGAAACTCGACAGCAAAAGAAAGGAATACAAGAGAGAAATCCTGGCACGTGTAAAGTTGGAGAGCACATCTGGTGCAAGGGACCAAAATGTCCCCTCCTTCTGTTTCCTTGTCATTGCCGAGTAACATTCTGCATGTCCACAAATTCCTACCCTTTTTTTAAAAAACATCTGTCATTATGGTAACAATCCAACCACTGTGTGCTCCAGCCATTTTTAGCAAAGAATATATTAGTTGTTTTCTCTGCAGAACAAAACCAAAGTCTCATCTAAATAAAAATTGCCTACAAAAGTAAGTGCTATTTCCTGCTTAGTATAACAGACATGCCAGGAGTTTGGAAAGGGCTCCTGCCCTGCTTCCTGAGGTGTTCCCAACATCTGTGGAGATCTCAAAATATGAAACCACAGTGGGAAAGCTCTTCCTGTGCTTCAAGACGCAGAATGACAGAACCTATCACCCATGACAACATCACAAAAAAGAGTCTGAAAGACCTTTTGGCCACAAAACATCAAAATATGCCATATGAGAATAACAAAAACGGCCTTCAGTGCAAAGCAGGGCTGAAACCTAAGAAAGTGTTGGCACTTTGGCTGCCTGGGTAAGGGGGACCTGGAGGGGACAGTTTTCTCTTCCAGGTCCCCCTTACCTCAAGCTGCCTAACCATAGGCCACACTTCATATATGTTTGTAATTTTAATTTACTCACCTGTACAGCATGGAAACCCAAGTCAATTAATTAACATAAAGAGTCTTAGTCTATTCAGAGTGCTTGCTAAAGCAAATGAAAAATTTCCCTAAAGAAACAGAACTTCAAACTCTGTCACACAAGATTCCCCTGATAAACAGTCTTTGAAATATAAGCTTATGATTAAAAATCACAAAATGCTTTAAGAGGCATGAACAAGAGTCTGCTGTGAATAGAGGCAACAGACCCAACAAGTAAGGCAGGTCATGAACCCCAAGGACTCCAGGAACATTAAACGATACAACTGTCAGGAAGAGCCAGTGAGTGGTGGCTGAAATCGTTAAAATGTAAAGGGAGAAATCAGAATTATAAGAAAAGAACCAAACTCTATTTAAAAATACCAGACATGTTTGAAAAACAACCATATATACCTTCTAGTAGTGAAGTCTGTATCATTAAAAAATAAAAACTTAATGAATGGGCTAAAAGTCAGATTAGATCACCAAAGAGAGAATTGGTGATCCAGGGAATGCTCTGGAAAGAGATGACCTATAATACAGCATAAAAAGATAAAGAGATTCTTTAAATGAAAGAGAATCTGAAAACATAGAAGATAAAATGAGACACTCTAGTGTACCATTACATTGGAACTCCAAAAAGAAAGAATGAGCAAGAGAGGCAGAATTTTGAAAGATAGTGGCTAAGAACTTTTTAGAACAGGATAAAAACCAGATTCAGGAAGCACAATTAATTCAAATCAAGATACAAAACTCTAGACATAATGTTTGAAAAAACTGTCAAAGGACAAAAAAATCAATCAGGAAAAAGATTACTTTCAAAGAAACTGGGGTTTTTTTGACAGCAGACTTTTAAATAGCAACAATAGAAGCCAGAAGTCAGTGGAATATTTTCAAAGCACTCAGACTTAAGGAATGATCTTACTCAGTTTGCAAGCTAAAAATAATAAAGAGACAAACTAAGACTAAGCCACTGCACATGCCTAGATTTATTCATAACTTACATTTGTAGAAAGAACTGGATTGGCAGGGTGTGACCTGGCAGTTATAATAGTACTCTGCTCTTTATCAAATAATCAGCTGTCACCAACTTGAAATTTTTTATAATTTTTGAACAGAGAGCTTGGTAGTTCTATATTTCACTAGGGCTTAAAAATTATGCAGCCCGCTTGGTGAAGTGGCACTCACCTGTAAACCCAGTGGCTTTGGAGGCTGAGGCAGAAGGATCATGAGTTCAAAGCCAGCCTCAGCAAGTTAGCAAGGACCTAAGCAACTCAACGAGACCCTGTCTCTAAATAAAATATTAAAAAGGGCTAGGGATGTAGCTCAGTAATTAAGTCCTCCTGGGTTTAATCTCTAGTACCAAAAAACAACAACAAAAAAATTATGCAGTCAATCCTGTGTGTAGGCTCTAAGAACTGGTACCACTGAGAAACAAGCAAGCAAGCAGCATCCTGTACATTTACACAAATTCAATAACACAGAGCAAACCCTATGTAGAAAAATGGAGGTCTCAAAGCTGGGTAAACACAAAGAAGGGTTTGCACAAATGTTCTTGATGAAATTTTTCAATTAAAAATGCTCCAATCTCTTGTACATGGGGAGGGAAGAGGAACCAAGCACATCAGGGATAGTCCCTGGAAGGAGTGAGAGAGTCACCCACCTCCAATGTCTGTCAAGCCAGGTGACCTGCTCAGTGCAGAAAGGGTGTGAACACACAGAGGTGTGGGTAGAGAGAGAGAAAAAAAAAAAAAAAACACACAGAGAGTCAGAGAGACTATTGGCAGAAAGAAAAGCATCTTTCTCAAAAATGTCTGTATAAATGTTCATCATTAGCATCAATGGTGATACCTAAATATCAGTACAATTCATCTAGAAACACAATAGCACCAATAAAAAATCTAGAGGCAGTCCCCGTCTAGTGCCTCAGGTAAGACACAGATCTGGTAATGGCCACGATGAGGAAGAGCTTTTGTTGAAGTTTCAGTGATGGATCTAATTGCTCAGAAGAATTCTGTATCAGAAGAAGCTGGTGATATTAGAATGTGCCTTAAAAGGCTGGGGAAAGTAGCAGTATTAGAATGAAACTCTCTGATTCATTATTTTTTTCCCAAGATGAGTTTGTGGCCTTAAATGGTGATGGGTTCTGTCCATTAAAATACTTTTTCACTAACCTGACTTACAAAGAAATGTGCTAATTGGTCTTATTGTGTTATATTTGTAGACATCTTGGTCCATTAGACAAAAAAAAAATGGATCTAAACATCAATTAGACAGTAGTATTTTTTCAGACTAAAAATTCAGAGTTTCAAAATAGATAGCCTCGGGCTGAGGCTGGGTGGGGGCAGTGGTGGAGACTTGCCTCACATGTGTGAGGCACTGGGTTCGATCCTCAGCATCACTTATACATAAATGAATAAAATAAAGTCCATCCACAGCTAAAAAACATATTAAAAAAAGAAATAGATAGCCTTGTCATATCAAAACTAAAATGGAGACTTCACTGCTACTTCTGAGGTTGCGGAGTGGGTTGAAGATGACGAGTCGGGGTGAAGTGGCAGAGAGAGAATTGGATGGTTTCAGGTCTGTCTGGGTCCCTGGGGCCAAGTTCATGGTGGATCTGGAGACAGTTTCGGAGCATCACCTGTGCTCATGCTAGATGAGGTTGGAAGTGGAGATTTCCTGGGAAAGGAGACAGATGAGCTTTGATATAGAAAGGCTTTTCTTTCAATGGGTCATTTCTACATGGAACAGGGTGGGGGGACCTCCTTTCTCAGACATCTCTCAAAATGATTTAGCTCTTCAATGGTCCAGGACATGCTTCCCCAAGCGAAGGTGGCTTAAGGAGTGGACATCAGGAGGGACTCTTCATCAGAATCCACACCACGCCTGCATTTCTCCTCCTGCTCACATGCTCCTGTCCCGGGAGGACTCCCTGCCATGGCCCTCAGCCAGCCTCTCCCCGTCCCAGGACCTGCCACGCGTGGAAGTATATGCATGGAAGGTTCCAGTAGCAGACACCAAGGATCAGCTGTAGCTAAACACACAAGAAATGGTCTTTGCATTGTGGACTCTTGGACTTCCCCCTTGGAAGGCTCCTTCAGATTGGCTTTGGTGACAGGCCCACTCTTTCCTCTTTCAGGCTTTGTACAGAATCTTGAGTCCACAAGGGCACCCTTTCCAGTGTTTGCTTCTCTTTGTGTATTGTGGATGTACATTTTGGGGAAATAAAAATAGAGAAACTCCTTCAGTGTGCCCTCCCACTCAGGGAAGGCTGACGTCCAGCAGCAGTTAGCTCACTGGCTGTTAGCCAGATGCCCTGGGTGAACCGCACTGATGGCCCAAGACACTGCATGAGGCAAGCACTCTGCAGAAACGCTAAGGGTCAGGAGAAGAGGGCAAGATGAGGTAAGAAACAGGTCGTTAATATAATAAAGATGGGGGTGAAGGGAGGCAATTTCCAAGCACTGGCTTTGTGTCCTAGAAGAGACCTGGCCAGCACCTTCCTTCTCCCACACGGGGTCTGCTTGCTGAGGACAGCCACTCAGGGACAAACGGTCAAACTTCTAAACCCAAGACCCTAAAATGCTATCAGGAGCTGGTACCCACATGGCAGAGAGGGGTGTTTTCCAGAGGTGGTACTGGTATGTGCTGCGACATTTCCAGGTGGAACAAATCAGAAAGCAATTCCACGCTCACAGCTATTGATCATTTATTTTTAGCATATTTGCTGGCTGTGCCTGTTGCCCTGGCCACATTTGCAGGAAGGATGATAGTTTTTTGTTTTTTTTTAAAAAAGGAAGTTCCCGCTATCTGGACTCAGAGTCCCACCCCTGGGGACGTGCTCCAACGGCAAGCAGTTTCAGGATCACTTTGCAGGCTTGCACAGCTTTGCTCCCATTAAACCTCTGATTGCGTCTGTTGCCATTTGGAACAGAGATTCTTCGATCAAGTCTTCAACAACATGACACTGGATCTGGTAAGTGTGTGCGGACCAGTCATAGGTGTGCAGATGTCTTCCACTCGGACAGAAGATGGTAACCATGTCCACAGGCACTGCCACAGACTGTCAGGGACAAACATGTTGTTGCTATTATTTTTCAGCTAAAAAAATAAGCTCTTTACAATGCATAGTTGGAGGAGCTTAGTCCACAGATTCAAAGCCATAGAATTACATGTTCTTAAAGACTCACAGGAGACAACAAAGCAGAAAACACATGTAGTGTTTTGTGGAAAGTCCTGAGGGCTGTGTGTCAGGGCCAAGCTGAATGGGCAGGGGACTTGCTCCAGCCACCCCCCAGGGACCCAGCTCCAGCCCTGCCTGTCCTTCTTCCACTTCCCCTTTATCTGAAGCAGTGGACAAGAGAAGGAGGAGGTGCCAAAGGACACCAGGGGTCCTGGAGGAACTGAAGCCACCACGTGCTGCAGGTGGAGGAGCCTGTAACCTCTTAAGGAAGAGTGGTTAGAAACTGCGGCCCTGATTTGAATCCTGAGGGCCCTTCGTGACACTTTCACTTCCAACAGCCACCACCTGTGATGGTGTCCTGCTGTGACTCGGGACTAAGCAAATGTGATCCTGCCTGTTCCCAACCCTGGGAGGCCATGCCCAAGTCTTCACCCAAGTTTCCTCAGTAAGACTGGAAGAAGGTGGGGCAGCAAAGCCCCTTTGACAATGCATAGCAGGAGTGTGAGTCCCGTGTCACAAGGGGACTCACAGCTCTGACGCCTTGACCAGAACAAATGATGTTTCTGACAAGAGGACTTGACAAGATCCTCACGGAATCACACAGGATGTCACCTCCTGAGCTCTTCCAGAGCACAGAGATGGAAGGGACACCGGGATGGCGGGAAGGGAGGTTGGGAGCCAAGGATCATGGCAGTGTCCTCCAGACCCCTGGGTGTGGACTTGTTGGCCAATGCTTCTGCAAACAAGGGGGATGTAGGTGATCTCACTTTCCCAAGGGCAGTGCTCAAGGCCAGGGCCAGGCCAGGGCCAGGCTGAGCTCTTACGCTTGGCTTTTGCTCTGGAAAGTTCTCTCTTGGTGTGCTGCAGAGCACAGCCCTGAAGCACAGGATAGTGGACAAAACCCCCGTGACGGCCCAGGCTCCACCAGGCCAGCCTTCGCCCACTCAGAGCCAAGAGAAAGCAAACAGGCCTCTGGACAGCTGAGTGGAGGCTGCATGTTCTCCTCACACACCACTGACTTGCTGGGCCCAGAGCCTGTGCTGAGGATACCCCACACACCCAGGACCCAGGCTGGCTTCTGAGGAGCACCTGGAACAGCCAGCTGGGCAGTGGGCTCAAACTTCTCTGCCTTAGTCAACTTGATTTTGGATGGACTGAACATGTCATGTGGCATGTGAATGAGGGACCACCCCCCCGCCCCCGCCCCTTGCCCTCTACCTCTTGGCTCCTGGTGAGCACATTTGGATCATGACTGGCTAGAGCACAGTCCTCCCCACATCCCTCTGTCTCTGGAGCACCTCCACCCCACAAAGCTCTACTCGTTCTGCAACTCCCACCAGAAAGACGGTCATAGACTTCCTGATACTTCCTGGTGAGTGGTAGGCAAGGACCAGATCAATCAACCAATCAACCAACTAACCAACCAGCCAACCCAGATACTTGGGATGCATTTTCCCAAAGACAGAGCCTTGTGAGGGATGCCCAGGCCCAGATGCAGCCCCCAGGGCTCCACTCCACATCTGTGGAGCAACCAGAAATCATGGATCCATCTCAACCCCACAGATTCCTCACAGCTGAACTGGGGAGCCAGTGCCATTCACAGGGCAGAGACTGGGTTACTGAGCATGTCCCTGCCTGGCCTTTCCCGGCCAAGACTTGAGTGGTAGGAACCCAGATGGCTTATATCGGCAGGGCCTCCAGTCTTCTTTCAGGATGCCCCTGGGGCTTGTGAAGGCCAAAGAGACTTGCCAAGTGACAGGTGCATTCTGTGAGTCTGTTCGTTCCAAGGAAAATTTCTGGTTTCACTTGATTCTTATCCAGAATGAGGCTTAGGTGCTCGTCACTATCATGGGGCACTGAGGGGGCATTGTAACCACTTTGGAAAGGCAGTTTTTTTCCCTCCTGATTTGCTTCACAGTAAAGGTGGCACTGCAGCTAATGCAAAACGAGTAAACTGTGGCAAATGTCATCAGCAGGCTCCCCCACCAGGAACCCTCGCTTCTTTCAGACTCTGCTGAGTCCCTCTGGGGCACTCTTGTCCTCTAGAGCACTTTGAGATACATCATAGTGTCACTGTAAAGCCAAACCCTTGTCCCAGTGCGGCAGAGCATGACCAGGCCAGCTAGAACACAGCAAGCCAGGGCTGAGCCAAACAAGGGCACGCTGACCTGTCACCCTACAGAGGCCAAGGCCTGGTGCTCATGCCCACTCCTTATAGTGCCATGGCCCCCAATCCCCAGTATCCACCATCCTCGGACCTCAGCCTCCTGGGAAGCTGGGATTGCAGCCTGCAGAAATGGGCAGAAGGGAATGGCAGCGCAGACCCAAGGGCCAACCAATAGTGTCAGTGCTTTCCAAACCCGATTGGCATAAGTTTTAACCAATAGCTTTTAGTACTTTTCCAAACCTGATTAGCATAAGTATGGACCAATAGTGTTGACCCAAGTGCTATATAAACCCCTAGACCAACACACTCAGTAACCCACCTGCTACTGGTTACTCTCTTGTCTTTGAGTTCTGTTTCTATGCTTCACACTTGAATAAATCCTACATCTCTCACTCTTGCTTTCTGTTGTCCCATCAATCTCATTCTTTGGACTTGCTAAAAAGAACCCGGAAAGACGAGACGTTGACAGTGAGCTTCTGGGGTCTGTTGCACCCTGGAGAGCAGAGTCCCACATACAGCTGCAACACTGGGAGCTGAGCCCACCGTTCCACGGTAGTGGAGAAGAATATGGCTTTCCACCCTCGACCCTCAGAGCAAATGCTGAAGTGGTGAATTAAGTTTTATCTCAAACTCTGGTTTCACTGGTTCTTCAACTGGCTCCAAGGCTGTCCCCACAGCTACTCTGCCGTGCTCACCTTCCCAGAGGACCTCTCCCCATCCCTAAAGGTGGCGTGCCACCTCTGAACACAGCATGGCACACAACGCTTCTGGAAGTCTCTCTGAGAACAGTAAGTCAAAGTGCATGTTTCACTGAGCTCTTGCCAACAGCACTTATAAGCACAGAGCCCAAGTCCTGGCATGTGGTAGATGCTCTGGGGGACGTTGAAGAGGTGGCACATATTGCACAATGAACCCTCCTATTATGCTGAAAGTCATGGTCCTCCCACCAGCCTACCACCCTCGGAAATGTGTAGCCTGGGTCCCAGGGCCCAAGCCAGAGCTGACTCTCAGGCTCAGCTCATTATTCACATGCCGTCTCCTGGGGCACATCTGCATTGCCAAAGTTCTGAAAGGGTCCGACAGCTCTCAGATGCAGTCACTTGTGTTCTGACCACCCACCTACACACCCCATTTGCCTCTGAAGAGCTTGCTTAGTGAAGCCCATAAACACAATTCCCCTGTCGTAGCCAGGATTCTCCAGAGGAACACAACCGATAAGTTGTACATAGAGAGAGAAAATGAGATTGATCTTAAGAAATCGACTCAAGCAATCATGGAGGTTGGCAAGTTCAAAATCTCAGAGTAGGCCCAGGAAGGAGTGGAGGCAGCTCCAAGCTGAAAGCCATCTGCAGGTAGAGTTCCCTCTTCTTTGGGGGAGATCAGCCTCTTAAGGCCTTCAACTGATGGGATGAGGCCCACCTACATTATAGAGAGCAATGTACTTTATTCCAGGGCCACTGATTTCAATGTTAATCTCATCCAAAAAATACCTTCACAGCAACATCTAGACTGGTGATTGACCAACAATGGGGCACCACAGCCCGGCGAAGCTGACACATAAAAATAACCATCATGCCCTGTAGTGACCACAACCCTTGGAGCTGAGTGCAGCCAGTGTGGCTATAAAGAGGGCTGAAGTCTAGGAGATGAGGCAGGGCCTGCCCGGGGCAAAGTGCCTCATAGACCATGGGCTGCCAGAGGGGAGGGACCGTGGTGAAGTGGACGTGGGTCCCCTCTGCCAAGCCCAAGGCAGAGCACAAGACAGATGCTTCATGAGGAGTAAGGTACATCGTGGACTCTGCCCCCAAGTGGCCTGGGATCCATCCCCCTGTGCAGCAGGTGTGCTGTGCGATCGTGATCCAATTACTTGGCCTCTCTGTACTTCAGTTTCCTCACCTGAAAATAGAAATAATGAAAAGGAAACAATAATTGTTATGAGGATTAAATGAGTTAAGGTTTGTAAAAGGCTTCAGTGACCCTCCAGCTGCTTGTCAAGTAGAGTAAAAGCTTCCCTAGCTATGGACCGCAGATTTCATCACCAGTTGGGTTACACCAGCGTCCCCCCAAATCTAAGCCTATTCCCTGGGAGGCAAGTCAAGGCCCTCCTGGGACAGGTCCCTGCATGGCCCGTCCACAAAAGGAGTGTGCGGGTGCAGAGCGGGAGGGCTGGGTCTGGCCACACCTGCGCGTGCACAACCCAGTCGCTGACCGCACAGGCAGCCGCCTTGCCGTGGGCTTCTGCACAGGACAGCAGAGCTTCTCTTGTTTGACCCTCACAGAGCAGGGACATACAGCATGGCAGGTCCAGGAGTTGCCTCAATCTCTTCAAGGAATGTGCGACTAGTGGCCGCCTCTCAAGATAGCATTTCTGTCTCTAAAATTAAGTTTCCTCAAAATTGGTGTCAAACTGGGTGCATTTGTGAAGACTGAATATTTAGTTCAGCACTAGTAGGAATGGCAACAAGGATGACCAGGCTGGCCTCGGCCATCCCTGTCAGACAGAACCTAACGTGGGAGACAAAGGAGGAGCAGGAGGAAGAGGAGACCAACACGAGTCTTCTTATTTCTAGGATTCTTGGAAACATCTGAGTAAGACAGAAATAGGACTGTTGAACGCAGAAAGAAATCCAGCCAGCCTGAGAACAGAACTATTCGGTGCCTTCGGAGCCTGGGTTGAGCAATCCCTGAGCTTCTAATTCTTACCAGAGACAGTGCTGCTAACATGCACAGCGGGTGGGAGAACACTGTGGCCTCCTGTTAAGTTGTCCTCACCCCAGCTTTCTCCACTGCAGAGCCTCCGGCCCAAAGCCACTATGGTGACAAGCTGGAGGGGACCAGGATGGGCGGGGAGGCGAGCCACCCTTCCCATCTTTGCCTTGGCTCCCTCCAACCCTGAGTCCCTCTGAGCCTTCAGCACTCGAGGATGCCTCTTGCAGGGTGGGACCCCTCAGGTCCAGTGGGAGAAGGGGATGGAGCAGGGACGGGAGGGGTGCTGTTGCCCCTCCAATGCCCCCCCCCCATGAGAAGCTTAGAATACTTGATCTTTCTGACCACAGTCTCTTCGTAGCCCAGCTCTTTCTTCAAAGCAAAGCGGCATGGGAATCTGCAGGCAAAGCGGCCAAGGGCGGAGCTGCTCTCCTGAGCCGAGCGTCCAGTTCCTGCCACAGGACAGGTGCCTGCTAGCTGAGTGGCCTTGCACCGGTGAGTGCCCCCTGAGCCTGCATTCGCCCATCTGGGAAAGCAAAGAGGACACTTTGGAGTCTGCTTTGAGGGCAAATCAAGAGCCGCACAGATGGCTTGAAGCATGACGCTAGCACCCACCAGTAGCTCTACCCTTCCCTTATTTGTGGGCGGTGAAGGCGAAGAAGATCCTCAAGTTGCTGGGCACGGTAGTGCATGCTGTAATCCCAGCAGCTCAGGAAGCTGAGGCAGGAAGATTGCCAGTTCAAAACCAGCCTCAGCAATGGCAAGGTGCTAAGCAACTCAGTGAGACCCTGTCTCTAAATAAAATATAAAATTGTGCTGAGGATGTGGCTCAGTGGTTGAGTGCCCCTGAGTTCAATCCCCAGCACCACCCCACAAAAAAAGAGCCCCAAGTCCCCTATGAAACTCAAGTCTTTGGTTGAATAAACTATCAAACACGCCAGGCCTTGGGGTGTTGGGGCTGGATCTGCCTCCTGCCCTAGACCTACACCTGACCTGAGCAGAATATGCTTGCTATCTCTCCATGGCCCTCACAGGCCACCTGCCAAGGTCACTTTCTCCCTATCTCCAAGGAATCAGATGAGTGACTGATCCCTTTCTTTGCCCATTTTCTAAGAGAGGAGGCTGTTGGGGTGCTGGAGCTCAAGGCTAAGGACCAGGACCTAGGTCGCCAATGCCACCTGAGCTGGAGGACAGGCAGCCAAGTATAACCCTGCTTCCCACTGCGTCTGTCCCACTCCCCTGGGGACACTTCCCAGTTGTGCTCTGAGGCTTACAGGATCTAAACACAGACACGGCACCCCTGTCACGATTTTTCCCAAGCCACTGCTTGTGCTCTTACACATTTCTAATCTTGGTGCAGAGTAAGCTTCTGATATTGGGTTGCATCCTCCAATCCTACCTTCTGGAAGGACCCCTGATTTTCAAGAGGAGAACTCTGGCGCATCACACCCCATTACAGTTTGCTCAAATCCTATTTGGGGCTGCCTTCTAGAAGCTAGAATACCCAATATGGACACTTGCCCAAGTAACATTTTTCTTCATTAAATTAAAGGTTTTCTGAAAAAAAAAAAAAGATGACAAACAATGAGAGCTCCATAGCATGTCAACCGACAGGCTGGACAACGCTGCAGACACCAGCCCACTGGGGCCAGGCCAGGCAGCCACGCATCCTCCAGGAGGCTTGTTTTGGGTGCATTCTAGCTGCACGTGTTGACGGGATTTGTCGTTATGTACCGTACGTGCACACAACACAGCACCATCATTTGGCCAATATCACCCCCCAACACTTCCCTCCCTCCCCACCTCCCTCCCTCTGGTCCCTTTCCTCTGCTGATCACCCTATGAGTTTTAGGAGATTCACCCCCCCACACACCTTTCTTTTCCTTTGTCCTTTCTATTCTCCACATATGAGAAAATCCTTAACCTTCTGAGTTTGACTCATTTCACTTGACATGATGGTCTCTAGCTCCATCCATTTTCCTGCAAATGACATAATTTCATTTTTCTTTATGGCTGAATAAAACTCCATATATACCACATTTTCTTTACCCATTCGTCTGTTGATGGACACCTAGGCTGGTTCCATAGTTTGGCTATTGTGAATTGTGGTTGCTATAAACATGGGCCAGCATGTGTCACTGTGGTAAAATGGCCCTAATTCCTCAGGGAGAAATGCTGAGAAGTAGCACAGCTGGGTCATATGGTGGCTCCATGCCTGGTCTATCCAGGAGCCTCCCTGCTGATTTCCATAGTGGTTTTGTTAATTTATGATCCCACCAACGGTGTAAGAGTGGTCCTTTTCCTCCACATCCTCTCCAGCATTGATTATTATTTATATTCTTGATGATTGCCATTCTTTCTGACTGGTGTGAAATAAAATCTTAGTGTAATAGTGTAATTCAACAGTGTTTTTACAATGTCAATTCAATAAAATACCTTCAAATAAACTTGAAGGATACATGCATGAAATGTCTAAGAAAAAAATGTTAAAAAATCAAAAGGAAGAGAAGAGCCAGTGGGAACACGTACCACATTTTAAGAGAGGAAGATTTATTGCCAAGTTGATTCTCCTTAAATTACTTTACAAATTCAATAAAAATATCAGCTTAAAAAAAAAAAACCTAGATAAGCTGACTCTAAAGTTCATCTGGAAAGTGAAACAGCCAGGAAACTGTTCACAATGACT